TTATAATTTTGATTTATTTTCTTTTTCGTTGTTGACTGACAGTTGCGGTCGCATATGATATAAATATTTTTGTTAACTTGTGACAAAAGATTGTCTACATGACAGGCTTAGCCTAGCGTAGAAATCTCAGTTACTTTATGAACTGAAGCGTTTGTCGGTACAACCTTAGCATTAAACGGGTCTTTATGGAAATGTATGTACAACAATGCAATCCGAGCTGGCACGGCGCATTATGGGATCGCATCGCCATTTATCCGTTTTTGCCACAGCTTGGCGAGATCAGTATGTACAGTCACGGAATGAAAAGGTTCGTCAGTTTTCAAATTGATTCCTTCAACGAATCGCGAGCACATATTACCTTTTGAAACTATGTTACAGAATAATCTCGAGTTAGAGAAAATAATCTTTAACTGTTCGTGAGTAAAGTTCAAAATTATTCAGATCAAAGTTGTTTGACGATTTATCTTGTCAATAAGATTATTATGATTGATAAACTAAAACCTTCTTGTTGGTTCAACCTGCCATTATTATTTCTTTTAAATAAAAAATAACTGTTGTCAATTGGTCAATGTCATCATTGCATTGCACTGATGGGATAGAAAAATAAACAAGCAAAACCTTATTCGTTAGCAAACGTCATATATATTTAAATGTTAGCAGCACTGTTTCTTGTACTGTTATGTTGGCAGGTTTGACTCTTACAGTACCTAGTGCAAGCGAAAACCGACACTAAGGTGACGAACCTTTTCATTCCGCGACTGTACAACCGGATTGAGCTAACGGCGCACCTCGCTGGAATGCGACTATCCTTACCACTTATCATCATCATCATCATCTCAGCCATAGGACGTCCACTGCTGAACATAGGCCTCCCCCAATGCTTTCCATGTTACCCGGTTGGTAGCTGCCTGTGTCCAACGCTTTCCTGCTACCTTTATGATGTCGTCGGTCCACCTTGTGGGTGGACGTCCCACGCTGCGTTTTCCGGTACGCGGCCTCCACTCCAGAACCTTGCTGCCCCGTCGGCTGTCAGTTCTACCTACTATGTGCCCTGCACTTCAGCTTGCTAATCCGTCGTACATTTCCACTCATAGATGGTGCCATCCACGAAGACGCGCCCCACCAATTTTTGAGTTTGATCGTAGAAATTATGGTAGTGTGCGTGTGCACTCATGGATAATTAGCATGTACCTACTTATCAATAACACTCAAACATTAGCGGAAGCATACATACATAAACTATAAACGATTCAGACGAATGGTGAGGCGCGTCTTCGTGGATGGCACTATCTATACCCGCACGCTGCACACTTCCTCGCGTTCGCCCCGAACTGTACCACAAGGGGCAAACGCGCGCTGACAATGCACGAGAATTATTTTTTATGTATATTAAAGGCAGTTATTTGACCACAATCGCACCTGATGTTAAGTGGGATGCAGTCTAGGATGGTACATATCTGCCGTGTAAGTGCCTATTCACTCTCGCCTTGAAAATGCCCGGATTATAGTCTTCGGGAAAGACAGCAGCAGGCAGCGAATTCCAGTCCCTAGCTGTTTGCTTTATAAAAGAGTCATCAAAACGCTTATAAAAGCGTGTTATAGATTTTACTTGTTAAAATCGTCCCTTCTTATTACTATTCACGCATTTATATGTATATGTTACGGTCAAAGTGATAAATGTGAAAATTATGAATAATCGCCGGTTATTATGAATAATTACCGCATGATTTGGTAAATGTGATTAATATGAGGTCATTTATGTGTGTATAAAACTAAATAGGCGGCTTAGGGGTGGCCCAAGGGCCACCCCCGCTGCACCTTAACCTATTTTTTACTTTAAATCAAAACATTATGTTATAAGCATCATGGAAAAGTAATATTATGCAAGAAACATTCCAAACTCATTATGCCAAATTATATTCATATATGATATCAAAACGTTCAAAAGTTTGGCTGTACACAAACACGTACACAAGATGTTGTTCTCTTTTATGAAATTTGTTAGTACTAAGGTTGAATTATTAAATAATCACTGTTAAATGTGATTAATTTATCACTTTCACCGCGACTGTCGGGAATTATTCATAATAACCGGTAATTATTAATAATTTTCAATTTATCACATTAACCGTAACATATACATAACGAGTAAAGATTCTCGACTACCTATTCTGTGTGCCTACCATGAGTTTACGTTAGGTGTGCTCGCTAGCGACTGCGTAAAAAATGACATTTAAATGTATGACATATTGTGCAGCGCCCCTAGTGGCTAGTTTCAAGAAATAAGATCTTCATAGAATTTTTTGACGTATTTGCTAGCGAGCTCACCTAACGTAAACTCATGGTAGGCACACTGTTCCTAAACTATTTAATCATTCCGTAAAAATCCACACTTTTTGCACAAACTAACAACTTTTACGCCTACTTAAATGTTTATTCTTCTCACATTAATTATTTGTGGATAAAATACACGTCTAGACATCTTTGTGGGCGTAAATGACTTTAATTAAGTAAGTAATTAACTTACTGATACAAACGTTTTGACCTCCACAAACTTAGGCTAGCTTTTTGTTGGTAGCGGAATAATATACTAAGTAATTGTTTATTGATTACGTGTATTCTATTTCTAGTCCTAAGTTTCATATTCTCAATTTTAATAGCAGAATTACATTGAAAAACTAAAATAGTCGAATCGATATTCGACTGAGTTAGGGTAAACCAGAGAGTGATTGCCCACTGGTAGTGATTGCCCGCTTTAAGAATAATATTGTCAGGTGCTGACTTTGAATCACTCTAGTTAGATTTGAATTTACTAAGTAGATGGCTCCGAGATCAATGTACAGTAGATTTAAAATTTACAATAGGAAACACTAAAAAAAACAGTCATGGCGGATTTTGTCAAGACGGGTGAAAATGTTACTCAAACAGGTAAAGACTTTAACAATTTTACTAAGGAATTACTTTCTTGGAGGTTAAATTTTTTTTGCAAGTTATTTTATATTCAACTAATGGTATATAGTTATGATGAAATTATAAGTGTTTTCTCCATTATCAATGAAAATAACTGATAAAATTTGATTTCTAACGGTCATTTTAACGGTGGGTAATCACTGCACGTAAATCTGTATATTTTTAGNTTGGTAGCGGCCTGTGTCCAGCGCTTTCCTGCTACCTTTATGATATCGTCGGTCCACCTTGTGGGTGGACGTCCCACGCTGCGTTTTCCGGTACCCGGCCTCCACTCCAGAACCTTGCTGCCCCATCGGCCGTCAGTTCTACGTACTATGTGCCCTGCCTATTGCCACTTCAGCTTGCTAATCCGTCGTACATTTCCACTCATAGATGGTGCCATCCACGAAGACGCGCTCCACCAATTTTTGAGTTTGATCGTAGAAACTATGGTAGTGTGCGTGTGCACTCGTGGATAATTAGCATGTACCTATCTATAACACTCAAACATTAGCGGAAGCATGCATACATAAACTATAAACGATTAAGACGAATGGTGAGGCGCGTCTTCGTGGATGGCACTATCTATACACGCACACTTCCTCGCGTTCGCCCCGACTAGACTGTACCAGAAGGATCGAACGCGCGCAGACAATGAACGAAAAATAAAAACAAAAGCGTGTTAAAAACATTTTACTTGGTAAAATAGGCCCTACATTACATACTACTATTCACGCATTTACAAAAGAGGCATGTAGTTGTGTAATTTCTATACATAACGAGTAAAGATTCTCAACTAGGTACCTATTCTGTTCCTAAATTATTTCATCATCCCGTAAAAATCACGGCTCACTTCTTGCACAAAGTCTAACAACTTACGCATACATAAATGTTTATTCTTCTCACATTAATTATTTGTGGATAAAATACACGTCTAGACATCTTTGTGGGCGTAAATGACTTTAATTAAGTAAGTAATTAACTTACTGATACAAACGCTTTGACCTTCACAAACTTAGGCTAGCTTTTTGTTGGTAGAGGAATAATATACTAAGTAATTGTTTATTGATTACGTGTATTCTATTTCTAGTCCTAAGTTTCATATTCTCAATTTTAATAGCAGAATTACATTGAAAAACTAAAATAGTCGAATCGATATTCAACTGAGTTATATTATTATTAGTTATCAGTAAATTTTACACCACGAAAGTAATATGAGACAACGATGAGGAAGTAAGTAAGTACTACTCCTGTATTCACTTCTAAATTTTCACTATGATACCATTTTGTTCTAACTTTGTAATAATATGTTTTCAATCTTATTTTCAAGAGCGCACGTTTCAATTGCTTCTGAAACATCGTAAAATTCGTTAGCTGATGCCTTTTGGCTGTGTATTTGGCGCCAATTCGAATGCAAACAACGAAATGCATATCTATAGCACTAAAAATGTGTCAGTCTGGCCCCGCGCCGGCTCCACTCATTCGGGGAACGCTTTGTTTTCCAGTAATTGAGGCTCTGTACTAATGAGCGGGTGTTTTCGATTTTGATTAATCGATTTTGTCGATGAGATATGCGGTAACCACGAGAGTAATTCGATTAGAGTAGTTTGTGCGATGTTGTTTTGTGTTATAAAAATTGCCTCTATCTAAGTAGTAGTTCCGTGTTGATTTTTGTGTTTGTTTTGGTTTAAACGTCACGTTTTGTTCTCTATTGCTTGCTTTTACCATTTTACATCGATTTACCTAAGCCAATGACTAAATTAGATTTAAATTAATGCCACTAGATTATGAAGAGTAGGTCTGATCATCACTTTTTATCATCCAGGCTAGGATGCCATGATAAAATCTTATCAAACGATTTTAGACTACAAATGTATGGGCTTATCGTGAAAGTTCGATAAAAATGTTTGATACAATTTTTTCATGGCGCACATCCTAGACCTACAGATAAAATAAAATACCTGCCTTGTCATTCATAAATAAAAGATGCAAATCTTCCCCGTAGTGAGAGAAAAAACACTAGAAGAAGAAACAATGAAATCAGCACTAACCTGAAAGACAGCGTAGTCAGCGGGCGGTAGGACTTGTGACTGCTTGCATCTGCCATCGGAGTACCCCAAAAATCATCCAGCAACAACTGCTGCAGCGAATTGCCTCCAATGACGTCAGCGTTCGTCGTGATCGCCGGTATATCATCATGCACGAAGTCTCCGTTCAGACTGTTGACGTAGCTGAGCACAGCAGTGGCCGTCACCATGACGTAGATGGCCAGGTCACTGCTGAACAAACTCTTCGTTGGAGATTCCTCGCGGACGGTGGTCAGCGATCGCCGCTTCATCTTTTGCAGTTTCGGTTTGATCGTCACATTTCTACATCTGCACATTTGCTGGCGATTCAACTGTAACAATAGAAAAGTGACTGTTAACTTATTTATTTTATTGGGCTATCAACATGAGATAGATACGGTCGACAGCACGTCAACGTAAACACTGCGGTATCTTACGTAGTTGCGATAGGGGCGAGTTTGCAACGAAAATGTATAGCTTGATATGCTGTCGACTGTACAGTATTAAACACAATTACAAAAAGAAAAACAATTAGGCCAAAGGTCTCTAGCTAACTGCTCCCACACAAACGATAACTTTGAATACTTGATGAGACTTTGTTGTATATGTTTGAGTCTCGACGGGGCCAGTTTGGTTGCTGCAGTTTCATGGAAATTCCTAGTACGTAATTACGAGTATGAATGTCTATAATTTTTAAACTATTATTATTTTATTGCGCTCCTAAGTTATTGTCAATCTGTGTGGTATGCAAAAAAGTATGTAGATTTTAGGATTTCAAAATAAAATTATCACGCACATAAAAATATCACAAAGGCGCAAACTCTATTATAACTTTCAAATATTCAATAACAATAGCCATGGGACCGCGAACAAAATAAATTGGGTGAATTCCAACAAAAATCGCCATGTAGCGGGTTGACCGCATACCTATATTCAGTCATTTTTCGATATTGTAAAATACCATATAAAATAAAAAGGATATTGTGTTGGTTTAGTTAAAAGCTGTGACGCATAGAGGCTTTGAAAGTATGTCATATTGCCTCTCTATATTGTTCAACGTCGACGCAATCAATATTCAATATAATAAAGTTACGTTTTACGTTGATAAAAGTAATAAAAATATGGACTTTTAGTTAAATGCCTGAAATGTTAGATTTCGTAGATACCAGCCTGAAGTGCTAGAACTGGCTGTAAGTTTGTGACCTGTTGTTTGCAAAAACCCAGTTTTATACGTTTACAGTTAAAAGGAATAAACTACTTATTCCTTATGTAACTTTTTAGTGACATCACTTCAATAAGATATACCTTTAGACACTAGCTTAGCTTAGCGACGTTATTAAATATTTGTAACTTAAAGCGTTGACTCTTTAGCAACTTGAAATACTTAGAACTTTCTTCCAAGATTCATCACCTCATATTTTGAATTAAGTTTTCAGATGTCTGTAGTGTAACCCATAACTCACTCTTGACTTTGACGCGCCCTTCTAGATATTAGATCACTTGAATTGTCTCGAAATAAAGTGTCTGCCAGCGAATAAAGTAGAAATACAGGGTGACTTTGTAATCAATATCTATTTTTTTTAATAAGCTCTATAGAACAATTTAACAATACAACTTTATCTTATTTATCTTTAGCCGTGGTATTTTTCGCAAAAAATTTCAATATTGGAAATCTAGTTCTCGGGTGCCCATGGCCCACATAGTATTAAAGGATAAGACTTATTTTCGCGCATCATTATGTCTAGCTTTGCAGTTAACTGTGTGTACGAATTTTTCTATGCACGAAGTAAATAAATTTTCCACGTAAGCCAATTTTGAAACCGCGCGCAGCTAATGAAAATTATTAAATACGGGAAAAAAGTTGTTTATTTAACGTTAATCGATTAAGTTACTGATTCCGAGTCGCTCCTAAAAATTTGTACACTGACTGCAAATTCACCCTGTATAAAACAAAATATTCCGAACAAATTCTCGAATATAATAAATTCGCATTCTGTCAGTCACTCGGGCCGCGGCCGCTAATCTAAATAACTATTTTTCAATATAGCCCCCATGGTAGGTTATGAATTTCGCGGCCTACTCATGGAGGACGTGCCTCAAATATTGTAGCTGGGGAAAATGCTGATGTGGTATACAGAGGCAGTTTATCCGCGATATGAATCCTTGGATATTGGGATGGGAAATAAAAAACGCCGAGTTTAATTTGATTCTGCAGTAGGTTAGAATGTGAAGAATTGGTTTATGAAATTACGCGTTTATTATAGGTACCTAAGTAGGTACCTACAGTTTTCTGTGATGTCATAGTATTAAGTAATATTATTAGCAGCTGCAGATAATTTTGAGTATTATGTAAATCAGAAGAGCTTGTGTGGGCGTTTAAAGAAAATAAACGAAATAAATATACATGCATATTATGGACTACCTAATGTAATTCAAATTTCTATAAGCAATATTCCTTTATATATATCCATAAAAGAGAGAATTGTGAAAAATCAGTCACATTTCAGTTTTGTTAATTACAGGAAACAATATTTACAAAATTTTAACAAGTACGACATCCTGTCTTGTGTTTGAAATTAATATTCATTATTCATTTGCGAGTGAACAATATGATTTGTAGGAATGACTTGAACATGTCAGTAAACAATTTTAATTAGTAATTAAAGAGCTTAGAGAATAACACACGGAAATTGCCAATACGTTTTAAAGGAGTTTTATATTTCATCGCGGTAACTCATCATTTTCTCAGCCACTGAGTGTATTGTGCTTCAATCTTAATAAATATCTACCCGAAAAAGAAATCATACAAAAGATTCGTATTAAGCTGGCAACACATTTTCACGTGCGAACGAGCAGAACGGTGTTTGACTTTGTAAGAATGCCAGCAAACGAGATTAAACTGGACCTTATTACGAACGGGATAAGGAGAGAATTAGCTGGTTATACGAATCTCTGTACAAATCTTCCGTGTTTCCGTAGAAACGTTTTCTCGGGTTTCGTCGAACTAGGAAAATGGAGAGGCGCCAACATTACGCACTTAGTATAACTTTTCAACACCCAATGAAAAGGCAATGGCATAGGTTTTATTTTGAAGTAGACAGCGGAGGCACATGCAACGGCACTTCAACCTTAACACAGGCTCCTTTGTACTTATGATACCGTTACCATTTTAGCAAAAAAAATGTTAAGTCTAATGAGCTGTCGTCTCTACAAATTTTTACAATAAAATACCGTTTGCCGGGCGCTACCTAGTTGCCCATTTAGGTACACTGTACTTCCTGTAATAAAATTACGAAGCCATAGCAAAAGAAGTGAATAGTGAAAGTGAGTCAACTTTACATATCTGTAAAATATACTTATTTAATGTGTATAACAAGTACATTATTATTCCTTAATAACATGAACCTTTGTGTTCCAAGAAAACGAGACGAATTGAACTTCCTTGTAAGAAGAAAAGTTAAACGTGGCCCTGAGAGACTTGAAGACGTGTAGATACCGATTCAGAGAATAGCTATATTCCACCGGCACCACGTGAAATGTAGGTTAATCACATTATTAATGTTTTCACGAAAATCTGAACTCAATAATGCTTCTTCCTTATTTTTGTTTTGTGTGTCCTGTGTCCTCTTAAGGTTGATATTTTTGGAATTAGCTGTGTTACTTGCTTGTACGAAAGCAAGCATTTTAGTTATGTTCCAGCAATAATTTGCCTACCCATATAGTAACTGTATTAAAAGTATTTAAACATGCTTTATGAAACGTTAATTAAAGCTTTCAATGCACGCCTCCATTCCCATAGTTGCCCTCGATTTTTATGGCATAAATTAAAATATTCATTACGTGCCTACTTTTCGCAAATTTGCCACTCCACTGTTAAAACATGTATGTAATGTGATGAAATTTGCCACAAGTTTCGATGGAGTTATACCGTGCCATCAGCGGCGTGTGGCGTTTATTAATTTTATGGGGCTAATAAATATGGAGCACTTCGTCGCTATAATTTGGTGAAGTCTAAATTTACCGGTCGGTATTAACACTCTTTGAGCAGTGTCGGTAATTGCGTGACGAGGTTTTGCCATCAAGTAAATTATGAAGTTGTTTAACCTATTTAAGTGACTGGATACAGATTTGTTTAACGAGGGGTAACGATAAAATTCAGATATTTTCACTTAGGTTCGTTTGTTCGTTTCAGCCGAATAACGTCCACTGCTGGACAAAGGCTCCAAGGATTTCCAAAAAGACCAGTCCTGCACCTCCCGCTTCCAGGCACCTTCCGCTTCCAGGCACCTCCCGCGACCACGACCGCTTCACTTAGGTGCATTAATTTAGTATTGATATAACATTTCACTTAGTAAATCGACTGCCCTAACCTACGAGCTTTTACTTGTCAAGCTACTTACTGACTCGTGATATTGAGCTATAAAGACATTGGTTACTATCTATATTTTCAAATGTTTTACTTATACATTGATCGGGTCGGATGCCCGCTGCGCCGCTGGCCTAATGTGATGACTCCACTCGCAGCATATTTAGCTTCCTGTTATTGCGAGCCAATCACAATCAGAATTTTAGACTTCTATATGTAGTTTTTAAGGAGCTAGTGCTTGCACTATGATTTGTTCATACCACGCATGATACCTATTTAAAAGTTATTCGACCTATAAATCTGCCACAAATCCATATAAAAAGGATTTTTTCATCTTGTTTTAGAGTTTAGGTTGACGTGCTAGTGTATAAATATACACATGAAGATGAGTATGCAGGCAAAATACCTGCACATAAGTAGGTAAATTAATAAAAAAAACTTGTAACAGTAACATCGCCCTAAACCTATCTCCTCCAACAATATCAAAAAAATCTCATTAAAAATATCTATCAAGAAATACCAGGAAATAAACAGAGCATTTTCTTAACAGCTGTAAGTGATTACTTTGGGAAGTTTTATTAATAAAATCCACATTACCCCAGAGTTCAAAGAGATTCAGAAAATATTATTAGATGCACGACCTCAGGCGGACCTTGTTACGGTCCCGACGTATGGAGCTTACAAGTATAGCTATAATATTCGAGTATGGGTATTTCAGAATTTAGAAATAAGCGGAGAGAAGCTCGTTCATGGGAAAAGATGAAGTTTAACTACGATTATGTGGAAGATGATTACTAAATTGAGTTTTATCTCACGTATGCTGTGTAGTTGTGAATGTGATTATACATATTACTTTGGCAAATCTGTGAAACTCCATACAAAAAGCACCGGTTATTGTTACGGTTTAACCGTATAAGGAGGTGCAACACAGCCTTATTATTGTTAAAATTACTTGCCTAATTTGCT